TGGTGTCCCCTGGGAGCGGGGGTGGGCTCAGCCCAAGGAATCGAAATGTCAGTCGGCATGTGCCAACCAAGAGCCACAAGAAGGCGCCAGGCTGTGCCGCAGGGGAGGGCTGGCTGCCGGCTGTCCCCTCACCCCACGTGAAGCCCAGGCCCTGGGGGGGGCCGACCTGTCACCACTGGCCACTCATGAGTGGGAGCCATAGGTCAGACCCCAGGGCCCACCGAGGTGAGGTCCAGACGGCCTCAGCCTCCTCAGGGCTGAGACAAGGGCCAGGCAACGGAGCGAGGGACACTGGATGGGGCCAGGGAGCCGGCAGGCAGGTGGGGGCTACTGTTCACAAGTGCAGGCAGTGGCTTCGGGCCACAGAAGCCTGGTTGTAAGCACCGCCCACCCCCCTCGCAGCTGGCCACATGTCTCAGATGCTTAGGAGGAGTACCAGGCCACAGAGAGAGAGCGCCGGGCCGCACCACTGGGGGACGCAGCTGCGGAGAGTGCGTGGCCAGCTGAGCCCTGTGCTGGTGCACCGGATGCAGGAGGTGCCATCACAGCCCAGCCAGGATCCCTCTCACTGCCTTGGCCCCTGCAGTGCCTCTCGAACCTGCCTGGGCTGTCCAACCCAGGCCCCTCTGCCGACCAGGACCGGCCTTCTGGCTCTGGCCCGGGAAGTCTCCGCTGTCCCACAGTCAGCGTGGTTTGCAGAGGTCACAAATTGCACGTGGCCCTGGCACATCACGAGACCAGAAGGAGCTGCTCAGGGAGACCAGTGCTGGGGGACGGAGGGGGGAGGCTGGTGGCCTCCAGGCGGGTCAATGGCACATTCTCTGGCTCTGCCCCAAGTCCCCATGGCACGGTTCCTGGAACTATGTCCTGGTCTGGGTCAGGAGCCGGAGGTAGAGGGGGGACGTGCTCTGCCTCGGCTCCCTATGGTCCTGCTGCTGACGAGGTGGGGACTGTGGGTAGTGCCCCACCCCGATGGCCACTCCAGTGTCATGAGCCCAGCTCACTGTCCCCACCCTGGCTCTAGCCTTGGGACACATGGTGGGTGATCACTGGGCCTCAGTTTTCTCATCTGCAAAGCTGGCTGGTTAAGGACACTCAAGGATACGTCAGGTCCTTTTCTAATCTAAGCTGGGTGTCATCCACGCCTGGCATCTCCCACTTGTAACCACAGCCTTTGAACAAATGCCACCCGCTCTGTCACGGGCAGGTGATGGCCAGTCTCACTGCAGTCTCCAGCAGCACCGTTTCGTGACATGACGGCATTCTTGCAGCACTGATGCAGGCTCCCTTTCTGGGCTGAATGACAACGCACAGTGGTAGGGAGCAGGTACGTGCTACTTGTACGTGGCCTGGAGCAGCCTGTGCCCTTCTTAAGGCCCGGCACCTGCTGGGGCTCCCCCAGAAGTGCTGAGTGTCCCCACAGCTGCGCACCCAGAAGCCAGGGCTGCCATCTGCAGAACCTTACCCCTAAAGGGCATGTCCTCATGTCTCACCCCCACCTCCAGGGGCCCTCCTGGACAAAGATGACCAGCTACTGTTGGATAAGCATTGGGGACACCAGGCCACCCACAGGGAGCCCCGCAGGAAGGCAAAGGGGGGACACCCTGAGACCTGTGCCTGCTTGGTCCCAGGAAGCATGAGGGTTCGCCGACAGGACGCTCGGCTGTGCTGGGTGTGAGTGTCCCCATCCTCAGCTCCTTGTGTTCTGGTATCACCTTGGCATCTGGCCCCAGCCGGGGCCTTGTACTCACAGCAGGCGCACAGCAGGTATACAGCAGGCCTGCTGACAGCCTCGCCAGGAAATAGCAGTGAGCTGCCGTGGGTGTACCCGTGAGAACACTGACAGCCTCGTCTGTCCCTTCTGAAGGACTTGCCACCATGCAGAGGCCGCGAATCCATCAGCAGGTCAGGGGGGCTGAGGCCAGGTGACAGGTTCCTAGTAGGGTGCTGGGGTCCTGCCTGCTGGGCACTGAAGGAGGGGGGCCAGCTGAACAGGGAGGCCACATGGGCCCTGAGGTGCACAGCCTCGTGGGGCTGTCACATGGGGTGGGCAGTCAGCCAGCGCACCTCTGCACCCACATGGGCCACAGCAAGCTCCTGCCTTTCTCTACTCCTGGCAGAGGCCTTTGGCCAGGTGGAGAAGGAAGTGGCGGCAGTGGGTGGGCGGGGCAGCCTGGCTCAGCCTCAGGCAGCAGGTGTGGCTCAGAGAGAGCCCAAGGCTGCATGAGTGAGCCCGTGACCTATGCCTCCACCAGTGACAGGGACACTGGGCATGGCTGCTCTAGAGGACACCAGGTGATGCATCCCTGGGCTAGGCTCTGGCCTTCTGTGCTGCCTGGGGCAGCCCTATGGCGGGATACTGGAGGCCCACCCAATTTTGGAGCCCCCAGTACCTGCAGGACTTCATGGGGGGATGGGGCCCCAGGTAGGATGGGACCCCATTAAATCCTTCCAAGACAAGGGCCTGGAATCGTCGCCAAGGCTGGGCATGGCTCCTGGGATCTGCTCGTGGCCACAGTCCACAGACACCCCGGAATCTGCCCCCTGCCCAGGTGCTGCCCAGCATGCGCTGCGGCCTCCACAGCCCTCTAGGCCCAGGAGCCCAGTGAGCCTGACGTCACCCTGGGCAACATGCTGACGCAGAAGCCAGCGGGTGCCCAGGGGTGGGGCTGGGGCTCCTCTGCCAGGCGTGGGGGGTGCTCTGCCAGCCCTCCCTCCCAGGAAGACGAGGCCTCAGCTGCCAAGTGGGTAGAAGAGCTCCAAGGAGCCGAGTCAAGAGCCGCCTGGCACTGGGCCCCAGGCCCCTTTGGTTTCTGCAAGAATCAGCCGGGCCTGCTCCTGGCTGCCTGGCCTCTGCCGGGGCCCTTCACTGGAGGGGGAGCAGCCCTGTCCCAGAGCCACGGCGGCACTTGCCTCGGGCAGGCAGGGGGAGGCAGGGGCACAGAGAGACGGGCTCTTCTTGGGCGGCCAGCCCACCTCGTGGCCTGCTGGCTGCAGGAGAAACAGACGGTATTGTCTGTCTGCAATGTTTGTTTTCCACCCCGAGTACTGCTGGTAGAGCATGAAAGGTCAGAACCACTTGGAATCCAGTGAATTTCCAGCCTCGCTCGAGTCATCAAGAATCTCCTTTTCTAGTGAACAACCACCGCCCCAGGCCTGCTGAGACCATGGTGGGCAGGTAGTGAAGGGGTTGGGGCACAGGCCTGGCTGCCGGCCCCTCCCTCTAGGAAAGGCCCTGCTGGCCCCAGGGCCTAGTAGCTTCCAGGGAGCATGGGCAGGCCTCACAGAGAAACCCATAGCCAGGCCGGCAGCTGCGGCCCCCGGGGACAGGGCAGGGGGACGCCAGAGATGCGAGGCCCTGTGAGGGCTGCCTATCCACCCAGTTGTCCACCCTACGTAGTGGGGCAGCCACTCATCTGCACACGATGGGAACCCGCCGCCTGTGATGAACAACGGTGATGGAGGGGAGTGCAGGCCCCAGGCTGGGGTCAGGAGGGTGACACCTGAGATGAAACCTGGAGGGTGGGCCAGGCTTGGCCCTGAGCAGCAGGGGCTGAGAGGGAGGGACAGGGTGGTCACACGCTTAAGGCCGGAGAGCATGGAGCACAAGGGAGCGAGACCAGAGCAGAGAGGAGAGAGCTCAGGAGGCGGGGCTGGCCGGGCAGAGCCAGGAGGGCCCCGGGCAGAAGGCCTGGCCTTGGGCCTGTCTTTGAGGACACTTGGGCCGTCTCCTGGTTGACAGGTTCAGGGCAGGGATGGTAGCCAAATCCCTCCATGAAACATGGGCCTGCCCATGAACATGGGAGCCCACCCAGCACCAAGGGAATTCACCACACCTGCCCTAGGAATGACAGAAGAGGCGGCCCTGAGATATAGGCCCCATGCAAGGACTCAGAGCACAGCCCCTTACAGACACCCTGTCTGTCCCCACGCCCCCCTCCCCCCGAGGATCAAAGGCCTCTTAAGGGCAGATTCTGGATCTTTGCTCAGTGACCCTTCCTGGCACAGACCCTCTGCTGTGGGGCATCCCTGTTGGGCTGAGCGGACTCCACCACCACCACTTCTGGGCGCCTGGGGAGACTGCAGCATGTCGTGCCCAGGGCCTTCTGCCTTGTCTGGGCCTGCAGTGCACTGCCCACCCTGTCTTTCCAGGGGCCCGACTCCCATTCTGGCCCAGCGGCTCCCCCGTGAGCACCCCCCACCCCGGCTCCACACTGGGCCAGGTTGCCCCTTGGCACTTCCACCATGCACATCCCTGGAGCCTCCCTGCCATGTGACCTGAGCCTCCAGCCCACGAGGTGGTTCTCAGCCTGGGCTGGGGGCCTGAGAGAACTGCCCCCTCACCCAACCACTGGAGGTTAAACCTCAGAAATGGTTCTTAACCCTGTGGCTGCCACACTCTCAGGACCTGGATCAGGTTGTGGGGCTGAGGCCATGGTTCCTGGCTGGTAGGAGCTGTGTGAGTTTACTGAGATGCCACACGGACCAGCAACTGGACGCCTGGCCTGGACCATGGCCTCCTTGGTCCTGCAGACCTGCCAACCTCCCTCCTGCCTCCAGCATTAGCTGCCATGCACCCAACCTCACCTGCCATGAAGCCCGTGTGGTGCCAGCTTCCTTTCCTCCCCAGCCAGCCCTCCCCACCCTCAGACAGCCAAGGGCCCCTCCTCTAGACTCAAGCAACATGCTCTTGGGTCTGGGGAGCAGGTCCTGCGCAGGAGAGAGCCGGCTCCCTGTGCCCTGTGAGCGCCAGCTGTGGGGTGTGCGGTCAGCTTGCGCGGCATTGAGGAGAGGCCACCTGGGCAGCAGGGCCTGCAAGAACAATGACAGCAGTGCTGTCTGCAGCCAGTGAGGGCGGCCCTGCCCATTGAGGGGAACTGGGCAGACGTCTGGACTACCCCGAGGTCCTCGCCGGAGCCGCCTGGCTCCCCTGGGACGGCGGCCGCTCCCACCCTGCCCGGCGAGGCAGCCACGGGCAGAGGAAAGCTGGGCCCACTCACCGTCTGGTTGTCCTCGTAGAGCTTCAGGTCGTAGCCACTAAGCTCCACGCAGAAGATGATGGCGGTGACGCCCTCGAAGCAGTGGATCCACTTTTTGCGCTCCGACCGCTGCCCGCCCACGTCCACCATCTTGAAGGTGAGCTCCTTGAAAGTGAACTTGTTCTCCACGATGCCCGTGGTCATGTCCCGGGAGCGCAGGATGTCCTCCACAGTGGGGACGTAGTCGGGCGCGGCGATGCGCTCCAGGTCGTTCAGGTAGTAGGCGGCGTTGTCCTCCAGGTGGTACTCGCTGGAGCGGCTGAAGCAGGCCTGCGCCCCGGGGTCGGCCCAGAGCCGTCGCATGACGCCCAGCAGCTCGGGCGTGATCTCGCCCTTGCTCTCGGCCGGGCCGGTCAGCGCGAACAGCTGCACCGCGTCGTAGGCGCGGTCGGGGTTGTGGAAGTCGATTTTGAGCGCTGCCAGAGCACGGATGATGCGGGTCAGTGAGTCGATGGCGTTGTAGACGATGAGTGGCCGGTACTCCTTGCAGGCCTCCAGATTGAAGCCGCCGCTGTGGATGATCTTCATCTGCTTCACGATGGTGCTCTTGCCCGAGTTGCTGGTGCCCAGCAGGAGCAGCTTGATCTCGCGGCGCTGCCGCTGGCTCTCCGAGCGCAGGTGGCGGTCGATGCGCCGGGATCGCCGTGCCGCCTCTTTCTCCTCTGAGCTTTGCCGACATCCCATGGTCCGGCAGCGGCGGGCCCAGAAGCGGAGAGCGGGATGGGCACCTCTCCTGGTGGACGCTGGGTGGGAGACGCTGAGACACGGGGTGGGGGCGCCCAGCAGACAGACGGATGGACAGCCCGGGGCCCTGGAGCACTCAACGTGGGTGGGGGGCTGAGGTCGTGCCCCGCTGCTGCAGCCCCTGCCCCGGCGCCTCCTCTCCAGCTGGCATGGCGCGTGTGCTGCGGGAGGCGGCCGAGCCCTCCCTCAGTGACACTCCACCTGCTGGGGTGGCCGCGGGGCCGGGTGCGCCACAGTCATCCCCAGTCCTCGCGGTGGTGGGAAGCCTCTGGTTGCCGGCTGCTGTGGCAATGCAGCCAAGCGCGGCTGGGGGGCCAGCAGCCAGTGCTGAGGTCGCGGGTGCTCCCTGTGGCCCCCCTGCCTCGGGCATCCGCCCTTCACCTGCCAACAAGAGAACAGCGTGAGCTTCCTCCCACCGCGGGCGGGGTGGGCAGGGGAGCTCTGGATGGCAGGAAGTGGCTTGGGGAACAATGAATCAGAGCCCTCCCCTCCGTGGTGCTCAAACCACAGCAAAACAAACACACCCGGCTGCCACCCCAGCCCTCCCACAGGCCAGTTGGCCTGAAGCCTGAGAGAGAGTGACCTGCACCACACCAGGCCCAGGGGTCCTCAGAGGGGGAGGGAGCCCGGGGCGCCACAACCCTGCCCTGCCCACCAGACCCAGCGACCTCACCCTCCCCAAGTCTCAGTCCCCCATCTGGTGGTGGTAAGGACTCCATATGGTGGTCCCGTGTCCTTTCCTGCAGCTGTTGGCGCTCTACTCACGTGTAGACAGTGGGGTCCCAGGCCAGGGTCAATGAGTGCTCCCAACCCTTATTGCCTCCCAGGAGCTGGGTCACCCTTGCTCTCTCTAGGGGAGGATGGCCGCCAGGTGTGGGTGGCCAGACAAGCCGGAGCACATCTGAGGGCACGGGAACCAGTGAGTCCAGGGCAAGGCAGGGGCGGCCCAGAGGCTCCCCGGTGCCAGGCCAAGTGCCCCCATCGTTAGTCAATAAGGCACAGCTGTGCTCACACCTGGCACAGGGCCCCAGACCCTGCTCTCTGCTGGCCTCGTGCATGCTCTTCCCAGGGCTCCCTGACCATCTACAGTAACTGGGCCAGGGCCCTTACCACCAGGGTAGCCCCAGAGCTCGGGCTCTGCCCCCTCGCCCAATCTCTGTCCCGACCTGGCTACCCTCTGCAGCCTCCTCATTCGAGCCACAGCCAGTGTTCACCTGTAATGCCCCTGTTCAGGCCTGAGGCCAACAGGCCCTGTATCTTGTCCATCTCTTGCCCCCCACCCCCTGCCATGGCCCTCCCCGCCGCCTTCGTGCCTGCCAGTCCCAGCGATCCCGCCTTGGAGCTGACCCTGAGCCTGTTCTCTCCCTGGGCCAAGGTCCCCACCCCCAGCTCCGTCTGCCCCTCAGAGGAACCTCAGTGTGCCCCACTGCTCTCAGGGTGGGGAGTCTCACCCCAGCTGTGTGGCTGGGCATGTGACTTCCCGTCTCCAAGCCTGTCCCTCTCTGGTCACAGCTCAGCCACAGCTGACTCCTGAGAGGAAAAGTGTCCAGCACAGAGCCCAGTACCCAACCAGTGCCCCTCATCCCCGACACCTGTGAGCTCCCCGTTCTGTCGCCTCAGCCTCCGCCCCTGCCCTGCCCTCTGCAGCGGCACCTGGTAACGTGGGTCCAGGCATGGCCAGCGCAGGGCCCGGCACAGAGCAGGCGCCCAGTGTGGGGAGGGGGGGGGTCAGCCTTGGGGATGTTGAGTGTCTCTCCCGCGTCTCTGCAGCCCCATGGCCTGAGGATGAGGGATGTACCAGGAACCCCTGGGGATGTGCTGCTGAGAGCAGTGATTAGATGGCTGACTGGTCGGTCAGCAGGGCCCCAGCGAGCAAGGCTGGTGATCATGCTGAACAGATGCCCTGTGGGGACCCCCAGCTGGGCACGGGGTGGGCGCTCTTGGAGCATGTGTTGTAGGATGATGTGAACACAACACAGGCAGAACACACAGGTCCCCTGCCACGTGTGTGCACCACGTGAGCAGAGGTCTGCAAAGTTATTCTCCAAGCAGCAGTGAGTTCTAGGCTGTGAAATTACGTGGGATTTGTGTATTTTACCATGTTTCTTATACTTTCTTCCGTGAACTGTGTCACAAGAAAGGTCTGCACACAGTCCCACCAGGAACTTGCCTCTCTGGTGGACGGTGAGTGCATGGGCCAGGGCACCAGGGGCTGCTCCCTGGTCCCTGTGACGACCTGGCACAGCCCCCACCAGTGGCCGCCCAGGGCTCCCGGGGCCCTCCTGCCTGAAGGTGATGCAGGCCAGACTGGGGGTGCCCCACATTGTCATGAACGTTTTTCTCAATTCTGTGTCTAAAAGGTCTGAGATACAGCCAGGCCCCTAGTGACCAATTCTCCATCAGCTGGCCAGTGACAGGGACAAAACTTGCCTCCTGCTCTTCAGGGCCCCCAGGGTCCCAGGCGCTGGGTCTCCCTGCAGTGACCTCCCTCTTGACCCCTCCTTGTTGGGATGCAGTCTAGCCTCGACAGGTGGCACTGCCTAGGGTCCAGGGGGCTGGTCCCGCCTCCGTGCAGGGCTGCACCTGGATGGCTGAGCTGTTGGCCACATCCTTACAGTGCTGCACATGACCGCATGGCCTCAGGGACTTCTTAAATCCAACGTGCCTCCCAGCCTGGGCCCGGGGAGCCCGCTGGGCAGCACAGGTTGTCCCCCGGATGGCTCGCTTGGCCACCCGGGGGTGCCCCTCGCCCCACTCCTGCACGGAACTCTGCCTGCTCTTCACGGGCTGGCTCACGCACGCCGCGTCCCCATCGGCGGGCACCAGGTCTCTCTCAACCACGTCCTCCCCTTCTCTGGTTTCTCCCACCAGCCTGGGACCTCCTCAAAAGCGGCAAGGCCCTTACCAAAACCACAGACAAAAAGTAACTTAAAATGCATCGAAGATCTAAAACTATACAACTCCTAGGAGAAAGCACAGGGCAAAAGCTGCCTGACGTGGGACTTGGCAGTGATTTCTTGGGTATGACACCAGGGGCACAGGCAGCAAAAGAAAAACAAACTAGATTTCACAAAAATTCAAAAAGTTTGTGCATCAAAAAACAATATCATCAGGTAAAGAGGCCACTGACACCTGCCAACGTATACCCAACATGGAACGAACGTCTAGGATACACAGAGAGCTCCTGAAATTCAACAACAAAAACACAACCTGACTCAAAACTGGGCAAAGGACTTGAATGGGTGTTTCCCCAAACAAGAGACACGAACGGCCAATCAGCACAAGAAATGATGCTCAGCGTTATTATTAATCACCACAGAGCTGCAATCAAAATCACACTGAGATATCACCTCACACTCACAAGAACGGCTTTTATTTAAAAAAAAACAACAGAAAATAAAGAACACTGGTCAGACAAGAAGAAACTGGAACCCTTGTACGCTGCTAGTGGGGATGCAAAATGGTGCAGCTGCTGTGGAAAACAGTGTGGAGGTTCCTCAAAAAATTAAAGACAGATTCTACCACATGAGCCAGCAATTCCACTCCTGGGTTTATACCCAAAAGAACTGAAAGCAGGGTCTCAGAGATTTTTTTACACCTATGTTCATAACAGCATTAGTCACAATCACCAAGAGGCAGAAGCAACCCAAGTGTCCGTTGACAGATAAACGGACAAACAAAATGTGGTAAAGTCTCACAAGGGAACGTCGTTCAGCCTTAAAAAGGCAGGAGATTCTGACACCTGCCACAACACTGCTGAATGGGGATGTTATGCCAAGTGGAACAGGCCAGTCACAAAAGGACAAATCCTGGTGGTTCTGATTACACGAGGTCCCTAGAATTGTCCAATTCATAGAGACAGAAAGCAGAGCGGCGGCTCCCGGGGGCGGGGGCGGGGGCGGGGTGGCAGCTGCCGTTTAACGGATACAGAGTTTCAGTTTGAGGAGACGAAATTTTGGAGCTGCTCGTGGGGATGGCAGCACAGCAGTGTGAGTGTGGGTCATGCCCCTGAACTGCACCGTTTCAAAATGGTTAAAAAATGGTCAATTTTACGTTGTGTATTTTACCACCATACCCCCTAGAAAAAAAGTGGAGCTGGCCACGTGGTCCTTGGCCAGTGCAGTCATAGGGCAACGTGGCCGGGGGTGGCAAAGCGCGTTGGCTGGGTCTGAGAGCTGGACCGCCACCTGCACAGGGCAGCCACCAACAGTGACACCCCAGGTGGGCCCCTCAGTCAGAGGCACCCTCCTGCCGAGCACCAGAGCCAAGCAGAAGGCCCCACTAAGAACCCTCCCGACAGCTCCGCGGGCTCAGCCACATGCCTGGGGGTGCGAGCGTCCAGTGCTGTGGACTCGGCGCAGGACCGGGGCTGTGCACGGATGCAGGGAGGGAGGTCTGGGGCAGAGGGGCCTCAGGATGGTACACTCTCAGGCTCCTGCCGGTCCGACCTTTCTGGGTCTACTGTGCTTTCCCGGACCCCCAAGGCCTCCCCTAGCCAGCCCAGAGTCACCGGGCCAAGGGTGGGATGACCACCTCGTTCCCTGGCCAGTAACTGCTCACAGGTCCCCAGGGCTCAACACTCAGGACCCCCTACCACAGTGCGGCTGCGTCTGGCTGGAAATTACTGAGGAGTGGGTGAGGGAGGGGGGCAGGAAGGGGAGAGAGGGTGTGTCGTGGCTGGGCACAGACAGAGGAGGAGAGAGGCACAAAGCCAGAGGAGGGGGCACGCTGACGAGGAGGAGCCCCACCCCCGAAGCAGGCCTTATCTGTGACCGTGTGGCTGCCTGTGTGCCTGCCTGTGTGCCTGTGTGTTGTGGCCGGCCTGCGTGCAGACCGGTGCATGTGTCCGTGTGCAGGACTTAACACACGTGTGTGCACCCCTGTCTAGCTATGAGGCTGTGTGGGGGTCCGAGCACGTTATGTGAGTGTCTGTGTGCCCCTGTGTGTGGTGTGCAGGGAGTGGAGGTGCCCGTGGGCTGGAGGTGAGAGGGGCCAAGGGGAGAGCTGGGTCTCTCTCTCTCCCACAGTTACTTACTGGGCCAGCTGGTGGGCGGGGGGGGGGGGACACTGCTAAGCCGAGCAAGGCCCTGTGAACTCCAGCCCTGACTTTGCTCTGAGCAGCCCCTCCTGCCCCCTGCCCCTGACATAGGAAGGGTGCCCAAGGCCAAGGTCACTTAAGGTGTCGCGCCCAAGCCGGGCTAAGCCAGAGGGTCTCCAAGGAGAGAAGACGGCTTATCAGCTTACTGGGCTAGAAGGCCGGACCTGGCGGGCGGGACACCCTCGTCACAGGCCCCTCCTCTTCCCTGGAGGGAGACACAGATGAGACAAGTGTCCAGCCCTCACTCTCCAGACTCTTCCCCGCCCCAAGGAAAGCCCGGTCC